TCCAAAACAGTATGCATTTGATCACGATCGCCAATATTGTGATCCTCAAATATACTCTTATTTCTGCCAACAGTCCCGGTCTCAAGTATATCGAAGGTCTTTTTTGTAGTTATCAAAAAACGTAGCAAAAGGCTGGGACAAATCCATGCAAGAAAAACTGGATTTTTTGCTAATAACATTGAAAAAACCACAATCGACGACCTAGGCACCTCCCTGTTTGACTTGCTGTCTGTTGTTTTATATGCAAATGATCATTCATCAGTTTTGCCACTCCGTTAAATTATTTTTCATTATTTCCCTCCTTCCTTCAGTACCTTTATACTAAGCCCTATTTGAACGATTTGTAATATTGCCATTGTCTGAAATCTGACCTTGTAGTGAAAATTATTTATTTTATATTGATACACGGTACTTTATAAATAAATGTATGTATTCCGTTTCGGAACATTTGGATCTAAGCTTTTGGGACGCAGCATGGACTGCTTTTACGTAACAGGAATTCGCTTATGAAATTCGTGTTATTTCACCAGGTAGTAAATCCATTGCACTAGCCTTTTAACGCTAATACCGCGGAGGACACAATATTTTCTGAAGCCGGAAAGCCGCTATTTTTTATAAGGGACTTTAAAAAAACTAAATAAAGTTTGCGATCGAAGCGTCTTCTTCTTTGATGGCTTCAGATGCTATCTGAAGAATAGCGATAGCTCTGTTAGGCTATTACAAACTGCTCAGAATTGATATTTGTCGGTCCCTTTTTTTCCTATGGGGATCAATTACCATTTCAAGTTCCTTCCCAATCTACGAGGTTTTCAGCTGATTAAAAGGACTTCTTCGTGTTAACCTTTACCTCTTGATAAGCCCTTTATGATATCACAAGCGCTCACCCTTAGCAACTGATTTTCTGAGATTTGGCGGGAAGGTTGCGGGCATATAAATTGGAAGTGCCCCCTAGCAATATTAAAACATACGGAGAAAAAAAAACTGATGTATTTACAGAAGACTGACAACCACACCTGTTGCTTTATCAGTGCAAGTAAATCCCAAACATATATCTTCTTCTTTATCGAAATGCAGCGAAACACACAGGCGTGAACTGCGCAGGTTTAATCAGTAAGCAAACGTGGGGGAGCTACGCACGCCATGTCAGAGCGATATCGAAGCTCAACTTTTGCAACTGCATTATACGATGAAGCAAGCCTCAACAAATAAAATCAGTAGACATCTGAACGACAAGGTTTCCTTTGAACTTTCTGAGGCAAAACAAAATCGTAATTGATGTTGTTACTTACAATCCTAACAGGCTAAGTACTAGCTAAAAGGCCCAGACCGGTATTCTGCCGCAGCTTGACACAACTGCGAGGGGTCCGGCTCATCAGTGGGTCCCCCAGCTTTCCCTGTCTGCTTTCTGGCTGATATACTGATTCTGAAAGTTCAGCTTTTTAAGTTCCTGAGAAATTAATTTCTGTTCGCGGTATACATCAGGATATTTAAGGTCCATAGGCGTAAGTTTTTGGTTTGAAACCCGTCCACCACTGTGAAATATGCACTTGCTACCAACGGGTAGAGTTTAGCAGAAAGATTAAGATTCGGTCTTAAGGGCTCACAGGCTTAAATACGGCTAGGGCAGAACACCTCCAGCAAGTAAAGAGTCTTACTGTTCTTACGAAAAGGTAAAATTGATTTTCTTTAAACATTCAGAACACCGGAAAATTTGGAGCACGCTAGGGAGGTCTATCTCTTTTCACGCATAAGCATTAACTTGTGTAGTTTAAATACAGTTAGGAGGG